GGAAGGCAACAGATTAAAAAAAAAAAAAAAGGAGAGAAGGAAAAAAAAAGGAATTTCCTGCCAAGGTGTAAAAACATTCAGAAAAAAAATGTTTACAAATGCTGCAAACTCCTATTGCCTGCAGTGTTAAAAGCCATTTTGCACTGAAACGGGGAGAGCTGCGCAGACTCGGGTACCCTTCCCGCAAACAGCTCCTTCGGGGGAGCTGCAGGCTGGAGCTCGTTCCTGTTGTTGCTCCTGCCGACAGCAGGTTTCTTTCTTTAGTGTTCCCTTAAATCCAGGCTATACCATTAACATTTTGTGCATATAAGGGCTTCTTTTTAGACTATATAAATATTAATATCAATATTGAGGTCTCTGTTTTTCTTCTACAGGTAATATCTAGATAATTTAACCTATCAGGTTAAGAAAAAGAGGCAGCTCAGTGAAAACTGCCTTGGAGGAAACAGCAATGGCATAAAAGGTTCAGGCAACCCTGCAGGCCCAGGGCCGCAGCCAGCGTGTGCCATGCTTTAGTCAAACTGAAAAACAGAATTATGGAACAACAAAAAAATCACTTCTTGATTGCAAAGGATTTTGTTTCGACATGGACTTCCACTTTAGGTAGATATTAAAAGAGAATCCTTAATTTGATTCTTTTAATTTGGGGCTTTGCAAAAAAAAAGAAAAAAAAAATTAACTTTCTTTTTAAGCTTGATGTAAAATATTGTCCATACTGCGAATTAAATAGACAAGCAAGCAACAGGTTATTCACCCAAAGTTATGTGAATAGCTTCTCTTCTTACACCAGCCCTCTCAATCCGCAAATTACTTATTCTTTGACAGCCGCGCCCACCGCTCGGGTTGGGTGTTGCACTGCCGAGCTGCCCGCAGCGCCGCGGCACATCCGCAGCCGCGAGCGTCTCGCTCGACATCTCACCCGCGGCTGAGCCGAAGCCCCTCGCAGCAGCGAGGCCGCGGTGGGCCGGGCAGCCCAGCACCCCTCCTCCCCCTGCAAGCTTTTGGGTCCCGACAAGAAGCGGTTCTGTGTTTCTATTCTGTTCTCCTATCACTAAGCAGAAAGTTCATAAAACTAATATTTAAGGGTTTTTTTGAGAAAGATGGAAGAATAATTTAGCTCTCTGACCATTCATCTAGTTACATGACATGACAATAATCCCTGCAAATACCAAATGTTTGCTTTCTTCAAGGTGGGAGCAATCGTTTGGGAACTACAACGTTCCCTTCCATGCTATGTAACTTATCTACCTTCTTGAATTTTTAAAACCCTGTCACTTTATGCAATGATGTTTTTCAGTGACACGGCCTGTGGCAATCTGCTAATATTTAGCCTTTCCTCAGTCACAACTGCTTTTGCTTAATAAAATATATATATTATATTTATATAATAGTACATTAGTAATATCTATTTATGTTTTTATATGTTTAAATATATTTTTTATATGTTTAAATAACTCAGTTCTGTGGTGTTTTGGTTTTTCTTCAAAAGGTGTGCAAACCCTGACAAGTACTGTGTTATTTATACGACCTATAAAGACACCACCATCATTTTAATTGTACAAGATATAATGCAAAATACTCTGTTCCCATTCAATAACTTTGCTGACACGCAGTGACCAACTGATTTGTCTCAGTTATCAGCTGATTTATCTCAGTTATCAGCTGATAATCCGACAGGTTCATCGCAATGTCAAGCGATACAATTCACACAGGCAGACTTTTTTAAGATATCAGACACTCTGGAAAACCTTACTACACACCCCAACCCGTAGGTCTGACCTACTCATCCCTAAGAGCAGATCCTCTGAACAGGACTAACACAAAGTTTAACGCAAAGGTTAACGCAAAGGTTTCTGGCGGAACAGCAAAACCCACGTTTCCAGCCGCCCGGGAGCCGGTGAGTTCTCGTCGCTGCTGGAAACGCTGCTTCTCCCCCCAGTGCTGAGCACGGGTGAAGCTCAACACAGAAGTGTAACGCTACAACACCTTGCTGTGTCCATACCTCCCCCATGGGGTTTTTTGGAGGGGGGTGGGGGGGATTTATAATTTTCTTTGAGATTAATCAAAATAATTACTTTAGAACTACCTCCTGCAAATGCAAACCAGGTCTCTTCCCACTTTCCGTGACTTTTCCCAAGACACGGTCCGCTTCCGACAGCACCCGTATGGGCTACAGTGACCACTTCTGCAAACGCTTTGTATTTCTGAGTGTTGTAATTCTACTTTATTCCCCTTGGGATCTCTTGCTCACCCTCTTCCAGTCCCTCTCACCTGCTGCGCTGAAGCAGCTTGGGGTGAATCCAGCCCCACGAAGGCAAAGGCCCCGTGCCGACGTTGGGGTCAATATCTGATTTCTCTCAGCTCTGCCAGGGCAGCTCAGTTTTGGACCCAAAATACCAACGCCAACTCTTGTCCTCTCCTTCAGCAAGTCATCTTCTGTTCTGACAAACCGACTGGTATCTTTTGATCGCTATTTCCTTCCAGTGTTTCAATTAACTTGCATCTCAAGTGCAAGTAAAAATGCGTTAATAATTCTAAGTGTTAAAAGCATTTCGCACGAATTCAGACACTTTTGGTATGAGAAAATGAGAAAAGGGGCTTTTTCAAATAGCCTACTTCAAACCAATTAAACCTGATACTTTCACAAATAGGTATGAAAACATTTGAGATTTACCTTTTCTATCACCACCACAAAACCGTCTTAGCTCCTTGTTTATTTTTGAAAGAAATATAAACGCTAGGAATATCTAAGAGAACTGTAATATTACTAAGGCATGTATAAATTCTTGGAAACGACTTTCTATGATTTTTAAATCTATTATATATTTAAACTAAACTAGAACATTATAGAAAATTTAATAACAGCATGTCAATCAAAGATTATTGTCTGAAAATCTCTATTGAGAAATCCCTTTTCATAATTATTTACATCTCTCATTGTACATCCAGACGGGGCCAAGGCACTGCTGTCCATTACCAAGTCTTAACTCCTGAATGCCTTTAACAGGAGGACGGACGTGGTCCGTAACTACCATACGACACCCAGAAATCACCTCCATTCAATTTCTGAATAAGTAAAGAATGTAAATGTAAAAATGAGTGCAATTTCGCTGGAAAAATGAAAAAATGGATACAAGGGGTTCAGGCAACGTGTTTCTCTGGGGAAAAAAAATTTAAAAATCACAAGCCAGTTGTTTTCTCGGGAAAAAATACTGCATGTTAGGTATGTACTTGCATACTGCATATAGGTACATACCTGCATTTTTTTGGAGGCTTCCTGCAATACTCGGAGATCTCTGGGAAGGCGGCAGGAGCGAAGTGCCCTGCCCAGGCAGCGCGGAAGGGGAGCAGGGCTCAGCGCCGCCGCGCGGTGCCGGCCCCCGCAATCCTCGGGGGCTCACACCGGGGGTCGAGCAATACACTAACCAGCCTGTCATAAATGCCAGGGCTGTCATCCAAGGGAAGTCTGCAAGCTGAAGTCTAATGTTTACCACGTAGAACCGTTAACAAAAATGTTCTTGTCAATAATAAAAAGGTACATAATGCAATGGGCTGTGTTTTATACGTAGAACAGGCAGCAAAACCATTGTCTCGGAGATCCCTTATATAAAAAAATGGTGTATTTCTTTTTTATGAGCTCCATCTAATGGTTGATTTTGTTTTTACACAGTTACTTAGAAATTGTGTGGATCTCATGCTAAACTTAAGAGAAAAAGACAGCATGTTTCCAATGTTAAACATAAAGGAGAGCGTATTTGGTTGAAAGAAATTTAGCTTTTCATGCAGAAAGGTAAAAGCAGCTATTTCTATGAAATGTTGGAAATACTTTTTAAAAGACTACATGTCTTTTAAATACGTCAGTATTTTTCTAGCTTTGCAGTATTTTTCTGCCTTTGCAGAAAACTTATTCGGCAACTTTAAACTGAGAGTAGCAGAGCCGTGTAAGCATGGACCGTTGGGACGCCAGTGTTAAACCTGTGCTCAAGGAGGAAAGTCATTGTCAGTAGCTTGGGCCCAAAATATTCAAAGGAAAGTGACTGGCAGTATGATTTTTTTTTTTTTTTAATCAGAAGAATCGCTCTCTATGCTTCTGGTAAAAATTATCAAAATATGCATGCATTTTGTGCAAGAAGAAAAATAATCTTCTATAAAGAAGAGAAAATTGGTTTAAATTCAAATGTTAAATGCAAGAATGGATCAAAAGTTACCAAATACATTGCACCTCAGTGGTCACTATCAGTGTTGGTTTTCTACGTGGCAGCTGAACGGTGTGCAATGGCAGGCTTGTACGCTCTGTTCTTACCGTAACACATTAGCAAGAGCCTGTCTTGAAGAAAATGCCAATACCTTTGTGTGAATTTCACCAGGCAAAGCTGCACATTCACGTTTCAAAGCAAAAGCTTAAAATGAATGTTTTAATTTTCATCTGCTGTTTCCTGCCTCATTTAAAAAGAAGAATTATTCGGCCATAAAATGCTGAGATATTTACAGATATTTTGTATTGCCACCAAATTTCTTCAAACTGCACTGACTCTCAAAACCCAGAAAAAGCCGCCACCCATCCCATCCTAGTGTCAGACTCAACAGGTGACTGGTAGACAGAAAATGATTAAACACAATTTAAATCCAGAGCCAATAATCTTTAAGAGCCAGCAGAAACAAAGTGGAAAAACTGTAACTGAAAAATAAATAAATCTTGTTTTCTACTTCTTTTATATAAAAAATGCAGAATACTTCCAACGTTTCTAAGAATGCATAACAACACCAGCTTCTAGAAATGAGCTTTTTTAAGCAATAATTGACTTTTCCATTCCTCTAAAAAGAAAATTTTGTGGAAACACAATTTAAAACCTGAATTACTTTGCACACCCGCGTCTGTGCTATGGCAGGAGATGCCATTGGCACATCACGCCACCGAGCTCCGGCGCTCACCGGCCCACCATGATACAGCCATACTCTATTAAGAAGAAAGTGCTGGCTCTCCCTGCTGCCGCGGGTACCTCGGCATCGTACTCCCAGAGCTGGTTCCCCCTCATGTGGTGGCACTTCAGCATGATGACGGGGCCGTTCAGCCTCGAGACGTCCAGGCACAAGTCGTCTGTGCGGATCTCTTTGTCAGCAGTGTAAGAAAACACCTGGAAACAGAAAACGATTGCAGTGACAAAGAAAGCGAAAGTCCTAACCGACCGACCGCTCATTCTGAATATACATAATTTTCACTCCAGTGGAGCAGAACGACTTTCTTCTCCAAACACTGAGGTGGTGCCTTGGATTTCATGAGAGTTTCATGCATGTTTCTCCACTGGTGAATGTCTGTTGTACATAAGAGAAGGAACATCATGTTTAGGAAAAGAAATTTTATGGGACCAAGCCCAGGACTCACCCAGGCATACAGTCAGTTTTACCTCCTGGGAGTTCTACAGAAGCATGTAATTGTGATCATCAGCTTCAGGAGGAATTTCACAGATCTTTTAATATAACAGATAAACCAAGCCCATCATTGGAAGAATCCAAACTTTCCTAAAGTAAGCCTTCCTCCTAGTGTCTACCTTAACTTCGGGTACCAAGGATTATCTATGTTACAGAATCATACGCATGAATATTTCAGAAATATGGTGTCTCTTAAAAAAATTAGGAAATAAATTAAGACACGAGAGAATACTCCATCAACAAACATCTATCCAACCAATTCTAAGTTTCAGAGGATCTGTATTGCCTCATGCTTTCCTCGCAGAAAATCCTTCTCTTAGCCAAAAGTGAATCCTTTCCGTTCTGTCCCCTCTCCTCGGCAGCAGGAGGCCGGAGAGCAGAGCCCCAGCCCCTCCGCCAGGATCCACCGTCCCCCCCCAGCATCTGCTCTGCTGCTGCAGCTCGCGCAGCTGCAGGACCGCCGCGGTGGGAAGAGAAACAGGAGAAAGCCTGCAGTTAATAAACCAATGATGTCGAGACCATGATGAATGGTAGAATTACCATGTCCTGTTCAGGTTTTGATGAGTATAAATCTGTACCTACACCTGCAACGGAGGAACAGCGCTGCCAAAAATATGGAAAATATTCACTTATGGGGCAATGCTTAAGTTAGCAGAGAAACATAATAAAAGCACGGACAAATACAGCATGTAGACATACACTCCAATTACTTGGTGACTTCTGAGTTCCTATACAACCCATTCCTCTTGTAAAAGGACTACAGTATAATAAAAAGAGCCGAGACCGAGATCTGAACCACAAACAATGCAGTGCCCCAGGGGATGTCTATCCCTTGAGACTTCCAGTGAAACATTAAATTGTACTCAAGGAAAAAGAATCAATCCAGCAGCAAATGAAAACTTTTTCAGGGAATTAAGCAGAGGGCAGGAGATACCGCGTCACCTGGAAAGACGACGCTTGGCAGTGGTGCACTGGGAAAGCTACCTCTGTGTAACTTAAAGCCTACATACTGCACAAAGCAGCCAAGGGAATAAAGGCAAGGATTTTGAAGCTGGAGGTTCAGAAAAATCTTTCAGAGCAATCACGGAGTACGAAACCAGCACGCCAAGGCGGCAGGGGAGCAGCCAGGTCCAAATCAAAGGCGTGAGGGAGAGCAAGAGCTGCCAGGATCAGCGGTCTTTCCATTTTCTGTATTTCTTATTCACTGCTCGCCAGCCACTTGTCTGGGTGAAAACCTGGGATCCAAAGGTATGGCAAAGCACCAGCTGCCTTTTGCATTTATTCATCCAGCGATAAACCACCGAGATCAAATCTGAGGGTCTCCAAGTGTTGCTTTCACTTAAAAACACATCAACCACAGGCCAACACTCGGGCTTCTCTCCAGGGGCAAGAGAGACTTTTCAATATTAACCTGCCAGCGCTCTGCCAAGATCATGCTCCAAAGTGCACTGTCCCTTTGGAAGGGGCGAAACGAGTCCACAGCACATCAAAAATGCCAATTTGTGGTCATATGGGTACTTTCTACATTTCCCTTCCCCACTTTTCTCTCTGCAGAAGCAAGTGCCAGAGCCTTTAAAAAAAAATATATAACTTCTCTATGTTGCAAACGTGAGTCTCGCCAAGGTGCTGAATACTCCGTGTCTGCACTAGCTTGTTCGGTTACATTCTGGAAGTATTTAGAGAAGAGAATTTCTAGCCGAGGGCTGCCCGAGGAGGGGACGGGGGTGTCATTTTGGAAAGCAGCTCTGGCTGCGCCCATCTCTGGCAAATCTCAGCAAGAACGAAAGCATTCACAGGTGCTCCGGTAGGTTAAGTGCATGGCAGTAGAAGCAGTATTTTCAAATTTTCAAATTCCTGCAAGCTGTCACACATGCACTTCCCGAGTTTCAGCGTGTGTCCTGAATCTGTGCGTTCTCTCCAACTAGTTTTTTTTATAGTAAGGTGTCTGCGTACACCTTGTCCCTGGTAAGTAGAAACCAAACACTGATGAAAACGGTCTACATTTGATCAGACCGATTACTGGTTTGTTTTGTGGAGGTCCAACAGATGTACGTCCTTGTGATCAGATGAGCTGATATTAGTACATCAGGCCAAGTTCGTGGAAGTGCATAAGGTCACCAAAAAAAAAAAAAAAAATCAGGATAATTTGTGAGGTTTCATTAAAAATTGTACAAGAGCAGTCCACGTTTTGGTCTAAACTGGAGTCTGAAGCTTTTATAAAAAATTATTCAACTGTTTATGACCTTCTCATTTACATTAACATCTGAAAAATCTTCTCAAAATAAAACAATGTAACAACAAAATCCACCTTCTTCAATCATTCATCAAGACCTCCAAAATCCCCTTCCAGTACACTGTTTTGAAATTATTTTGGAATAATAAGCACAGAAGTCAAGAAGAAAGAAAACTTGGGAGAAATTAATAAACAACGTAATATAGGTCAAAAAGACTATTGGTCTAGCCTAACACTGGATCGGGGAGAGAAAGATATCACACAGTTGAGGTATTGAAGACCTGGGCTGAAACAACCATTATTCAAAATCAGATAGTACAATAACGTTCAGCTACCAAGCTACCATAATTAATATTCAACAAGAAAACCTTTTGGGAGGGGCTTTGGGTTTTCCTTTAAACACCTTCAGCTGAAAATCTCACTTACTGGTAGAATACTGGACTTATTTGCCAGCTGTCATGCTATAACTGGAACAAAAAACATGGCCAAATAATCTAATAATCTGAAAATCACCGATATCATTTGTAGCACAAAGTATCTCCCACTCGAAGTAGCAGTTTGGGTTCAAGGATCACTCATATGAATATATCGTACAGACATTTCATCTTTTACTATGCTCCGTATTAAGAGATTTATCCATTACAATTTATCCTGAAGCAACATCTAACTTTAATTTTCAACTTGTTTGTGTTCGATTTTTACAGTAAAGATATCTGCATGGGGCACTTTCTTCTAGCCTCAGAGACATGTTTTAGCCTGAGAGAGATGTTTTCTTCTGTGCTTTATAGAAAGCAAATACTTGCAGTTTGAAATGTATGTCCATTTCCATATTTCTTTTTCCTCTCATCTTTGATAACTGCAATACACTGTTCCATTATATCTTTTGAAAGAATAAGGGATGTCTGAATTAACAATTACAGAAGACGGGTTTGAAAAACAGGCCGTCTTAAGAAAGAAAAATGAATGCTAATTAAGACAATGTAAAGTTATCAGGCTAGCATTTTGCTACCATCCATATTAATTATAGATATAATTATATTAATGCCATATAAAAATAGAGGGTGAGGAACACGTTGCGTTTGATAGCTAATTAAGCAGCGTATTTCAGGCCAGACGTGGCGGCGCAGGGCAGGAAAGGATCCCCGAGCGGGGTCTGGTCTCTTGCTGCCGAAAGCACCCCGGTTTTGGGGCCGTGACCGCCCGCCCCGCCGAGCAGCTGCCCGGCTGCAAAGCCCGAGGCCAGCGCAGAGCGAGAGCCCGGGAGCCGCGCCGGGGCTCAGCAGCCCATTCGCCAACACAACTTATTCCCTAGTGCTGGCGGACCTGCGAGCACCAATCTATCCCATCTTCTTCCTCGGCTGCCATTTATTTACTAACACCCAGGCTGCTGAGGCGTGGAAATAAAGTTCTTTCCAGTTTCCCCTTGCTTTTCTTCCCCAAGGGCTGGTGGCGCTCGCTGCGGCCAGCCGTCCCCTGCAGCCGCGCGGGAGCTTTGGGTCCGGCCGGAGAAAAGCGGTCCTGCTGGGCAGGAGAAGGGGGCTCCATCACAGGAGGAAAGCGCTGCTCCCCGAGACCCGCGGGTGTTTGCCTGGCTGCTTAATCCCAAGCAGTTTTCCAAAAGAGGTTAAGCAAGTCCCTAATTCATCCGAAGTAGATACTAGTAAAGCAGACACTAATGAAGCCTCCAGAATGACAAAATACAAAATATTCTCACAACTGATGCAGCACTTTTCTATCCAGACACAGAAATACCGTCACTCTGTTCTGCTTTTTGTGGAGCTGATCAAAACAAAAAGGAACCGCATATTTTCCACCAACACCTCGTCTTGCATAATGCTTGCAATCCCGATATAGACAGATTTATTGCCTACACACAGGAGCAGGTTTTTACAGGAGTATTATAGGAGTATTTTGTATTTATTTTTTGTTAATATCCTTTATTAATACATTTCCATCCAGCAAGTTTAGAGGCAGAAGTAAGCCCTATAAAGCCAAAGGTCCATTAAAGCCAACGCTTGGGACTGAGACATGGGCCAGACTGATCCGAGACACGCCTCACCTATCACCGATCATTTCATTACTTTTTTCACGTTAAAAGGAACTAACCAAGTATTCCTTCCGATACGAGTCTGAGAAACTTATCAGTTTGTTCAACACCAATAAAATACCAAGCAACATCATTAACTGGAAATCAGTCGAGTGGTCAATACAAATTTGTAGCTATTTTTATATATATATATTTTTATATATATATACATATATATGTGTGTGTGTGTACATATATATATATAGGCTGCAATAGCATATGGCCAGAATTTTCCTTTCCCATTATTTGGTTGTCCTTTTATTTGGAAAACAGTTAGACAGAGTATTTTGTCAACTCATAGGAAGCCTAACACTGAGAATATTGTTCATAAACCCTTACTTTATACTTCATTATGTGGAACTAAATCTTGAGGATGCATCTGTACA